TTTCTCCTGTGACTGCTAGATGGAAGGTCTGACGAATTCAAGCGAAGCGCTGCAGAAAACAGAGACGGGGATCAGTTACGTTTTCGTGAATTTCCAACAGCTTTACATTTCTCCTTCCATATCTTCTAGCGAGCAGATGCAAGTATTATTCCAAGATGGTACCACGCTAGCCTTTGAGGAACGGATGTGGTTTGCAGCAGTTCTGGGTTAATTTGGAAGACTGCACGGGAGGGGAATGGGGGAGGAGAGGTGGCCACCTCAGGGGGCCCACGTTCTGATCTATGATCTCTTGATGCCGGAGCCGTTGTTGAAATCTAATTTATGGTGCCCGTAAGCTAGGCAGTTAGAGGTCCGTTAGCCAGGAAGAGACAAATTATTCCATCTTTGGATCCTAAAAATCTGTCTGACTATTTTATCTGTTTCAGGTGTTTGGACGACAAATTCACCCTGCGATTTGGACAGGTCTATCCGCTGCAAGTGTGTGACCCACCGGATGACATCTCCGCTGTGGTACGTAAGGTTTTTATGTGGACATTCTTAGATACTGTCTTTCCTATCATCTGCACTTAACTTGGCAAATGGTTTCTGACAGCTCCTCGGAGTTTGTATGTCCTTCCCCTTCCGATCACAATCGAAGCTTTTGTTCCATTGTGCTCTGAGGCCATCAACATCGGAGATAAGATTTTTTTGCACGCTCTTCCCCTCCCTTTCTCTACCCTCTCATTTAGCTTTGCCCTCTATTTCTCGTCCTCCCTCTCAAGCTTCTCTTCCTACCTCTCCCACTTCTTCTCCCTCTCTCCTTTTTCCTTTCTCTCTCACTCGCAATCGTCTTACGCCTCTCTATTCTTCCATCACCACTCTTACTGACGCTCGTTGATGAACGGTCATCGATCGCTAACGGAAGTCACTCGTCCTGCCCTGTTTTGCGGTTCATTCTTGAGCCCCACCCCGGTGAACGTTAATCAATAAGTGTCAATGTCGCCCGAGCTGCGCTAACAAGACAACCATCCCGTAGCTCAATCATTAAGACGTTAGACTTCTGATCAAAAGGTCGTGGGTTCAAGCCTCGGGTGGGACACCATTTGGGATTGGGTGTGACTGACTGCTGACGGCTAATGAGCCAGAAAGGACCATTTCAGTC